TGACAATCCTCAAATAGCTGGTTAGAACTTTGTTCAGGTTCTAACCAGCTCTTTGGCCAACCCTCAAACCACCATTCACGGTCATGTCCTGTCCATTTTCCTGTGGGCCTGCCATCTGCTGGCTGACAATCCTCAAATAGCTGGTTAGAACTTTGTTCAGGTTCTAACCAGCTCTTTGGCCAACCCTCAAACCACCATTCACGGTCATGTCCTGTCCATTTTCCTGTGGGCCTGCCATCTGCTGGCTGACAATCCTCAAATAGCTGGTTAGAACTTTGTTCAGGTTCTAACCAGCTCTTTGGCCAACCCTCAAACCACCATTCACGGTCATGTCCTGTCCATTTTCCTGTGGGCCTGCCATCTGCTGGCTGACAGCCTTGTGCGCGCCCGTTCACTCCTTTGGCCTGTTCCCTAGGTGGTGCCGCAATTCTCAACACTTCGCCGTCTTTTAAGTTTTTCACCCTCTCTTTTACTTTCCACGCATGTATTGGTCTTTGTTCAAGCCTTGACATGCTCTTTGCCCACTCCTCAGACCACCATTCATGGCCAGGGCCTGCCCAATTCTCTCTGGGCCTGCTATCTGCTGGCTGCTTGTTCCCTACTTTGGCCTGTTCCCTTGGTGGTGCCGCAATTCTCAATCCTTCGCCGTCTTTCAAGTTTTTCACCATTTCCATTACTTCCCACGCATATATTGGTCTTTGTTCAAGCCTTGACATGCTCTTTGCCCACTCCTCACACCACCATTCATGGCCAGGTCCTGCCCAATTCCCTCTGAGCCTGCTAGCACCTGGCTGACAGGCCTGTACTCGGGCCAATTTGAATTGACGTCTTTCCATTCCTTGTTCCATCTCTGGTATTGACACTGTGTTTGTGTTGAAATAATAGAGTGAGTGTCTAGAAGTTGTTTTCACCTGCAAGTGAACCAATAGTTCAGAAACAGTACACCACTTACTAATTTTCAACTACTAAGAAAACATGAAAGTTGATGACATCATCATCAAAGCCTTTGTGATGTCATCAAGGCCTCTATGACATCATTGCCTTTTTTTTATTTAGTTTGAATACCTTTTTAAAAAAAAAAAACTTTATCGAACATTGTGTGTGCTTAAGGATCTGGTTGCCGTCAGCCTCAAACATGGAAGTGCACATGAAACATGAAGATCTGCTGTACCTAGTAATGAGCGGATCGATACTAAAGTATTGATACCTTTGACACCAGATTTTTACGCTCTAAAATCAATTCTCAATCAAAATATCGATACTTTTGATACTTACGCCATTTGAGATAACGTATATAATGAACAGGAACGCAGTGGAAAGTAACTTAACTGTTGAGATGTTGTCTTAATGTCACACAGTTGTTGAGAAGCAGTTTTTCTTCCACCTGGGTAAGTGCTGAATGCGTTAAAGCAGCGGCATGCTCCTCGGTCAGCCCATCACTCAACATTGTGGCAGAGCTTAAACAGTCATGTGTGGAGCTATTCCAGCTTCACAAACAGCCCCAGTGTGGTTTGTGAAACAACGGCAAGGAGTTGTAGTAACAAAACAAACTTCGTAAAACACCTTAAGTTAAACTACAACACAGAATATGAGGCATATATGATGAGGCGGACAATTGTGATGAAACTGCCATGGTGAATTTAGAAAAACATATATGAGTAAAGATGGGTAAAAACATGACATTTTATCCATAAAACACATCTATTATTATTTACAATCAGGCTAATTTTCCTTGAATTGTTAAATGAACATTTTAAAATGTAGGTATTGATAAAATTGTGCAATCGTAGCTAGATCAAAGGAAAAAAAGTGTGATCTACTGTGTCAAAAGCAGCGCTTAGATCCAGTAGCACAAGGACTGTGAGCTTGTGTAAGTCCAAGTTGCAACTAAGATCATTAACAATTTTCAGTAGTGCAGTCTGTACTGTGGTTCACCCTAAATCCAAGTTGGAATTTCTCTAGGATGGAATGGTTCTTTAAAAAAAAAATCATTCAACTGAATAAAAACAAGTTTTTCTAAAATTTAACAACAATAAACCAGTTATATGAAATATGCAACCTTATCAAATTGCGATATAAATTCCCCCAATTATGCAAAAGTTATAAAATTGTGGTATCAATTCTCAAAAAGAGTAATAATCAAAGTTCATCAGGTTGTATAATAGCTCACATCAATGTTCAATTTCTTCACCGTCATACCATAGCTAGGATCATTTCAAATTATATCAGCGCATAAGACTGATAACCCCGCTCGGCTTTTTCAACAGGGAAAGAATCTTACGGCCCTGCGCCCTGGCGACCATCCATGTTCTGGATACACTGATATAATATCATTTGCATGGTATAATTCTCCACTTCTGGTAATACCATTAATTTCATCGGAGCAACCTGGGACAAACCCCTTGATTAGTATGTGATTATCCCCTTGATCAATGTGTGATTAATGTAGTCCTTTAACCTCTGCGAATGAAACATGTTCAGTTCAATATCTCAGCTCACTGGATATATTGTTTGTGTTGCTCAAAGTCCAGTCCTCATCTTCATCTCCTTCAAAGTCCGGGAACAGTTCAAGTCCCTCAGTCCCTCCTTTATACATCACACACTGTGCCAGCTGTTTCGGTGGCATCCTATGCATTTCGTGGGCCAGAGCTAAGCTTGCCATGAGTCCCATTTGCTTCTCTGTCAGCCTCCCACATTGGGCTCTATTTTCATGCCTCGCCGGCGACGCGGCGCATGCGCGGTGTAAGTCAGGTCCCCCGCGCCGACAAGGCGTTCCCAAGCACAATTTGGTATTTTGGTGAGCGGCGCAGCGGTCAAGAGATGTCTGAAGACAGTAATGCCACACGATGGCGACAGAAGGCAACCCCTCAACAAGTGTCGCTGTAAACGCTGTGACACTTGTTGCTCTCATATGAGCACAGATGGATTTGGTGTGTGTAAGGTTGGACCCACTAGTAAGACAAACATCCCTTTCCACAAATAAAGACACTCACATAAAGTTGCACATATTCAAACCTCACGTGACAAAGCTGGGTTGTGCGCAGAGATCACATCATAAATTCCAATAATGGCATGAAAATCTGGACCATCTGTGCGTAAATGACGCATCGCGCTCCGTGGCCTGGCTTTTTCTTTTGTAGATGTTGGCATATAAAATAAATTTGGCTCACAAAACTGAATATTATAATATTCGTATGTAGGCTTAAAGTAAATAACTCATCTGATCACTGAAACAAATCATCACGAGAAATAAGAGGAAGAGGAAGAAAGAAAAGGAGGGAGGCAAATGACATATCTTGTCATCATGTGTGCCTATTTACTAGATATTTAATTTAATTTAATTCGGTCAGGTTGAGTGTCCAAACGCGTGCCAAACGCGCTCATCAGATCAGATATAGATCAGAATATATCTATATAGATCTAAATGTATGTGCTGACTCAGAATACTAATTGTTGTTGATTATTTATTGCACTGAAACAGTACTTTCCAAATCTTGAACACACCTCTTTTCTTCTCAAATACTTTTTGCTCAAGGCTTTTGTTGATTAGATAGTAAAAATGTCCTGTAATCTACTTGCCGAGGTAGTATTTTCGGTCTAAAAATCAAATACTTCTGAAAAGCTTTTTAAAAGAAATGAATAAAACTCACAATCTAACATTTATGTCTCCAGCTATATCACTAATCATCTATCTACTTGGGTATCTGTACCAAAACTTTACGTTTTCTCTGTGCTGCTTAGTTATAGCATTCGCAGTGTCATGGTGTTCTTCCACATTCATCTCTCTGATTTTATGCTTTTCTACATTTGGTTGAAAAGCTTGGATTTTAATGCTGTGTTGTAAACAAATGCAGGCATTTTTTGTTGGTTTGTTTTTGACATTATGTGTATTCCATCTCAAATACAAAAGATCTGATACTGTGAATAAATAGCCTTTTTGGGGGTTATTAAAAAAGGGGAATTATTAGTCCGGGTTTTATTGCTCCTGGTGTAGTTATTATGTTTTAATAAGTATACGGTTAAAATACATTTATTCCTAGAACAAAGCCTTTGGTTCATGAAAGCTCGGCAGCGGAAGTCAAAGAATGACCCGATTTTACGATTTTCAACCAGGACAGAAATGAATTAGTGAAAAGGCAATGATTATACTGCAATTCGTAATCCCCTTCTGAATGAATGGATGAAATTCCCCATGTCACTGTGTGCAGAATGTGAAGATACGGCACATGCTATGTGTTGAAAAGGCACCGCTGGGATTCGAACCCAGGATTTCCTGTGTTCTAGACAGGTGCTTTGACCAACTAAGCCACAGTGCCAAAGACATTTTTTTTTATTTATTTATTTTTTTATTGCCGTTAATTTTTTAAATTTTATTTGTTTTTATTTCTCTAATTTCATTGTAAATTTTTTGTCGTTGTCATCGTTGTTGTTTGGGACTTAGGCGGACATGGGTCTTAATTATGCTGGGTTGCCGCCATTCCTTGGCGGGGGCAAAACAAAACATGGTCCTGAAGACTGGCGTGTGTGTGTGTGTGTGTGTGTGTGTGTGTGTGTGTGGGTGGGTGGGGGGTTTGGGTTTAAGCAATCACCCTATGCTGGTTGTTTGGGACGACTCAGCCTTATATCCATTCTCTTAGTGTGTGTATTTGCGGGTGCATTGGTGTGTGTGGGTGGGTGTCTGTGGGTGTGGGTGGGAGATGTGGGTTTAATAAATCACCTTATCCTCCATTACTGAGGTCTGGGTAGCTCGATGAACCACCACCTTTTTTACCAGAGGCTCAGGGTCTGATTCAATCACCTCCAGGGGCTGAGCTTTCAGGGGCTGAGGGGCTTGTGTGATCCCCTCCTCAGTGACTAGGGGCTGGGGGGGCTGTTCCCTACCTTTGCAAGGAACCAGTGGTTCTGATTCCTTGTCCATCTTTTGGGTTTTTGGCCATCTCCATTTCTTCCCTTCCCTCGAGCTGGTTAGAACTTTATTCAGATTCTAACCAGCTCTTTGGCTAATCCTCAAATAGCTGGTTAGAACTTTGTTCAGGTTCTAACCAGCTCTTTGGCCAACCCTCAAACCACCATTCACGGTCATGTCCTGTCCATTTCCCTGTGGGCCTGCTATCTGCTGGCTGACAATCCTCAAATAGCTGGTTAGAACTTTGTTCAGGTTCTAACCAGCTCTTTGGCCAACCCTCAAACCACCATTCACGGTCATGTCCTGTCCATTTCCCTGTGGGCCTGCTATCTGCTGGCTGACAATCCTCAAATATCTGGTTAGAACTTTGTTCAGGTTCTAACCAGCTCTTTGGCCAACCCTCAAACCACCATTCACGGTCATGTCCTGTCCATTTCCCTGTGGGCCTGCTATCTGCTGGCTGACAATCCTCAAATAGCTGGTTAGAACTTTGTTCAGGTTCTAACCAGCTCTTTGGCCAACCCTCAAACCACCATTCACGGTCATGTCCTGTCCATTTTCCTGTGGGCCTGCCATCTGCTGGCTGACAATCCTCAAATAGCTGGTTAGAACTTTGTTCAGGTTCTAACCAGCTCTTTGGCCAACCCTCAAACCACCATTCACGGTCATGTCCTGTCCATTTTCCTGTGGGCCTGCCATCTGCTGGCTGACAATCCTCAAATAGCTGGTTAGAACTTTGTTCAGGTTCTAACCAGCTCTTTGGCCAACCCTCAAACCACCATTCACGGTCATGTCCTGTCCATTTTCCTGTGGGCCTGCCATCTGCTGGCTGACAGCCTTGTGCGCGCCCGTTCACTCCTTTGGCCTGTTCCCTAGGTGGTGCCGCAATTCTCAACACTTCGCCGTCTTTTAAGTTTTTCACCCTCTCTTTTACTTTCCACGCATGTATTGGTCTTTGTTCAAGCCTTGACATGCTCTTTGCCCACTCCTCAGACCACCATTCATGGCCAGGGCCTGCCCAATTCTCTCTGGGCCTGCTATCTGCTGGCTGCTTGTTCCCTACTTTGGCCTGTTCCCTTGGTGGTGCCGCAATTCTCAATCCTTCGCCGTCTTTCAAGTTTTTCACCATTTCCATTACTTCCCACGCATATATTGGTCTTTGTTCAAGCCTTGACATGCTCTTTGCCCACTCCTCACACCACCATTCATGGCCAGGTCCTGCCCAATTCCCTCTGAGCCTGCTAGCACCTGGCTGACAGGCCTGTACTCGGGCCAATTTGAATTGACGTCTTTCCATTCCTTGTTCCATCTCTGGTATTGACACTGTGTTTGTGTTGAAATAATAGAGTGAGTGTCTAGAAGTTGTTTTCACCTGCAAGTGAACCAATAGTTCAGAAACAGTACACCACTTACTAATTTTCAACTACTAAGAAAACATGAAAGTTGATGACATCATCATCAAAGCCTTTGTGATGTCATCAAGGCCTCTATGACATCATTGCCTTTTTTTTATTTAGTTTGAATACCTTTTTTTAAAAAAAAAAACTTTATTGAACATTGTGTGTGCTTAAGGATCTGGTTGCCGTCAGCCTCAAACATGGAAGTGCACATGAAACATGAAGATCTGCTGTACCTAGTAATGAGCGGATCGATACTAAAGTATTGATACCTTTGACACCAGATTTTTACGCTCTAAAATCAATTCTCAATCAAAATATCGATACTTTTGATACTTACGCCATTTGAGATAAGGTATATAATGAACAGGAACACAGTGGAAAGTAACTTAACTGTTGAGATGTTGTCTTAATGTCACACAGTTGTTGAGAAGCAGTTTTTCTTCCACCTGGGTAAGTGCTGAATGCGTTAATGCAGCGGCATGCTCCTCGGTCAGCCCATAACTCAACATTGTGGCAGAGCTTAAACAGTCATGTGTGGAGCTATTCCAGCTTCACAAACAGCCCCAGTGTGGTTTGTGAAACAACGGCAAGGAGTTGTAGTAACAAAACAAACTTCGTAAAACACCTTAAGTTAAACTACAACACAGAATATGAGGCATATATGATGAGGCGGACAATTGTGATGAAACTGCCATGGTGAATTTAGAAAAACATATATGAGTAAAGATGGGTAAAAACATGACATTTTATCCATAAAACACATCTATTATTATTTACAATCAGGCTAATTTTCCTTGAATTGTTAAATGAACATTTTAAAATGTAGGTATTGATAAAATTGTGCAATCATAGCTAGATCAAAGGAAAAAAAAGTGTGATCTACTGTGTCAAAAGCAGCGCTTAGATCCAGTAGCACAAGGACTGTGAGCTTGTGTAAGTCCAAGTTGCAACTAAGATCATTAACAATTTTCAGTAGTGCAGTCTGTACTGTGGTTCACCCTAAATCCAAGTTGGAATTTCTCTAGGATGGAATGGTTCTTTAAAAAAAAAATCATTCAACTGAATAAAAACAAGTTTTTCTAAAATTTAACAACAATAAACCAGTTATATGAAATATGCAACCTTATCAAATTGCGATATAAATTCCCCCAATTATGCAAAAGTTATAAAATTGTGGTATCAATTCTCAAAAAGAGTAATAATCAAAGTTCATCAGGTTGTATAATAGCTCACATCAATGTTCAATTTCTTCACCGTCATACCATAGCTAGGATCATTTCAAATTATATCAGCGCATAAGACTGATAACCCCGCTCGGCTTTTTCAACAGGGAAAGAATCTTACGGCCCTGCGCCCTGGCGACCATCCATGTTCTGGATACACTGATATAATATCATTTGCATGGTATAATTCTCCACTTCTGGTAATACCATTAATTTCATCGGAGCAACCTGGGACAAACCCCTTGATTAGTATGTGATTATCCCCTTGATCAATGTGTGATTAATGTAGTCCTTTAACCTCTGCGAATGAAACATGTTCAGTTCAATATCTCAGCTCACTGGATATATTGTTTGTGTTGCTCAAAGTCCAGTCCTCATCTTCATCTCCTTCAAAGTCCGGGAACAGTTCAAGTCCCTCAGTCCCTCCTTTATACATCACACACTGTGCCAGCTGTTTCGGTGGCATCCTATGCATTTCGTGGGCCAGAGCTAAGCTTGCCATGAGTCCCATTTGCTTCTCTGTCAGCCTCCCACATTGGGCTCTATTTTCATGCCTCGCCGGCGACGCGGCGCATGCGCGGTGTAAGTCAGGTCCCCCGCGCCGACAAGGCGTTCCCAAGCACAATTTGGTATTTTGGTGAGCGGCGCAGCGGTCAAGAGATGTCTGAAGACAGTAATGCCACACGATGGCGACAGAAGGCAACCCCTCAACAAGTGTCGCTGTAAACGCTGTGACACTTGTTGCTCTCATATGAGCACAGATGGATTTGGTGTGTGTAAGGTTGGACCCACTAGTAAGACAAACATCCCTTTCCACAAATAAAGACACTCACATAAAGTTGCACATATTCAAACCTCACGTGACAAAGCTGGGTTGTGCGCAGAGATCACATCATAAATTCCAATAATGGCATGAAAATCTGGACCATCTGTGCGTAAATGACGCATCGCGCTCCGTGGCCTGGCTTTTTCTTTTGTAGATGTTGGCATATAAAATAAATTTGGCTCACAAAACTGAATATTATAATATTCGTATGTAGGCTTAAAGTAAATAACTCATCTGATCACTGAAACAAATCATCACGAGAAATAAGAGGAAGAGGAAGAAAGAAAAGGAGGGAGGCAAATGACATATCTTGTCATCATGTGTGCCTATTTACTAGATATTTAATTTAATTTAATTCGGTCAGGTTGAGTGTCCAAACGCGTGCCAAACGCGCTCATCAGATCAGATATAGATCAGAATATATCTATATAGATCTAAATGTATGCGCTGACTCAGAATACTAATTGTTGTTGATTATTTATTGCACTGAAACAGTACTTTCCAAATCTTGAACACACCTCTTTTCTTCTCAAATACTTTTTGCTCAAGGCTTTTGTTGATTAGATAGTAAAAATATCCTGTAATCTACTTGCCGAGGTAGTATTTTCGGCCTAAAAATCAAATACTTCTGAAAAGCTTTTTAAAAGAAATGAATAAAACTCACAATCTAACATTTATGTCTCCAGCTATATCACTAATCATCTATCTACTTGGGTATCTGTACCAAAACTTTACGTTTTCTCTGTGCTGCTTAGTTATAGCATTCGCAGTGTCATGGTGTTCTTCCACATTCATCTCTCTGATTTTATGCTTTTCTACATTTGGTTGAAAAGCTTGGATTTTAATGCTGTGTTGTAAACAAATGCAGGCATTTTTTGTTGGTTTGTTTTTGACATTATGTGTATTCCATCTCAAATACAAAAGATCTGATACGGTGAATAAATAGCCTTTTTGGGGGTTATTAAAAAAAGGGGAATTATTAGTCCGGGTTTTATTGCTCCTGGTGTAGTTATTATGTTTTAATAAGTATACGGTTAAAATACATTTATTCCTAGAACAAAGCCTTTGGTTCATGAAAGCTCGGCAGCGGAAGTCAAAGAATGACCCGATTTTACGATTTTCAACCAGGACAGAAATGAATTAGTGAAAAGGCAATGATTATACTGCAATTCGTAATCCCCTTCTGAATGAATGGATGAAATTCCCCATGTCACTGTGTGCAGAATGTGAAGATACGGCACATGCTATGTGTTGAAAAGGCACCGCTGGGATTCGAACCCAGGATTTCCTGTGTTCTAGACAGGTGCTTTGACCAACTAAGCCACAGTGCCAAAGACATTTTTTTTTTATTTTTTTTTTTTTATTGCCGTTAATTTTTTAAATTTTATTTGTTTTTATTTCTCTAATTTCATTGTAAATTTTTTGTCGTTGTCATCGTTGTTGTTTGGGACTTAGGCGGACATGGGTCTTAATTATGCTGGGTTGCCGCCATTCCTTGGCGGGGGCAAAACAAAACATGGTCCTGAAGACTGGCGTGTGTGTGTGTGTGTGTGTGTGTGTGTGTGTGTGTGTGTGTGTGTGTGTGTGTGTGTGTGTGTGTGTGTGTGTGTGTGTGTGGGTGGGTGGGGGGTTTGGGTTTAAGCAATCACCCTATGCTGGTTGTTTGGGACGACTCAGCCTTATATCCATTCTCTTAGTGTGTGTATTTGCGGGTGCATTGGTGTGTGTGGGTGGGTGTCTGTGGGTGTGGGTGGGAGATGTGGGTTTAATAAATCACCTTATCCTCCATTACTGAGGTCTGGGTAGCTCGATGAACCACCACCTTTTTTACCAGAGGCTCAGGGTCTGATTCAATCACCTCCAGGGGCTGAGCTTTCAGGGGCTGAGGGGCTTGTGTGATCCCCTCCTCAGTGACTAGGGGCTGGGGGGGCTGTTCCCTACCTTTGCAAGGAACCAGTGGTTCTGATTCCTTGTCCATCTTTTGGGTTTTTGGCCATCTCCATTTCTTCCCTTCCCTCGAGCTGGTTAGAACTTTATTCAGATTCTAACCAGCTCTTTGGCTAATCCTCAAATAGCTGGTTAGAACTTTGTTCAGGTTCTAACCAGCTCTTTGGCCAACCCTCAAACCACCATTCACGGTCATGTCCTGTCCATTTCCCTGTGGGCCTGCTATCTGCTGGCTGACAATCCTCAAATATCTGGTTAGAACTTTGTTCAGGTTCTAACCAGCTCTTTGGCCAACCCTCAAACCACCATTCACGGTCATGTCCTGTCCATTTTCCTGTGGGCCTGCTATCTGCTGGCTGACAATCCTCAAATAGCTGGTTAGAACTTTGTTCAGGTTCTAACCAGCTCTTTGCCAACCCTCAAACCACCATTCACGGTCATGTCCTGTCCATTTTCCTGTGGGCCTGCCATCTGCTGGCTGACAATCCTCAAATAGCTGGTTAGAACTTTGTTCAGGTTCTAACCAGCTCTTTGCCAACCCTCAAACCACCATTCACGGTCATGTCCTGTCCATTTTCCTGTGGGCCTGCCATCTGCTGGCTGACAATCCTCAAATAGCTGGTTAGAACTTTGTTCAGGTTCTAACCAGCTCTTTGGCCCACCCTCAAACCACCATTCACGGTCATGTCCTGTCCATTTTCCTGTGGGCCTGCCATCTGCTGGCTGACAATCCTCAAATAGCTGGTTAGAACTTTGTTCAGGTTCTAACCAGCTCTTTGCCAACCCTCAAACCACCATTCACGGTCATGTCCTGTCCATTTTCCTGTGGGCCTGCCATCTGCTGGCTGACAGCCTTGTGCGCGCCCGTTCACTCCTTTGGCCTGTTCCCTAGGTGGTGCCGCAATTCTCAACA